GGGGGGGTGGGGGGGGGGGGGGTGTGGTAGTGCACAGTACCTCTGGCTCCAGACATCTTCCCGCCCAGCTCACTGATGTCACTGGTTGCCGGGATCTGGGTGGGATGCCAGCAAGAGCGTCACAGGTTTTGACCCAATAAAATGCTGCCTGGGTTATCCACCTCAGGCTGTCTCATTATATGGATGGCCCTGGCTGGGTTATGCTGAAATTACATACTCATGTGTCCAACAAATCCTGTGCTGTCCTGCTGCAATCTGCCACTGCTGCATGCCCTCAGTGCCATCTTCTTTTATTTACATCATCAGGGGGCTGGGTGTCTCTTCCTGTATTTTGCAGCTGGCCCGCCCCCTGAAAATGCACATGTACCACGACACATCATCAGAGGGTCGGCTACATGACCCAGGAACAGATAGCTGGCCCCCTGAAGATGCACATGCACCACGACACATCATCAGGGGGCCGGCTACAAGACCCAGGAACAGATAGCTGGCCCCTGAAGATGCACATGCACCACGACCAGGGGCTGACTGGCAACTTTTAGTCCAGGGGGCAAGTACAACCTAGAGGCCCATGGTGCAGCAACTTGGCCCCCCTCCCGCTCTCCCTCTTTCCCGCCTTCTCCCCGCCCCTGTCTGCCACTAACTCAGAAATACATTGTACAGCATTGCAGAATGGCATTGGCTATAGAGAACTACAATTCCCAGCAATACATTACACAACAATGCAGAATACCATCAGCTATAGAGGACTATAAATCACAGCAATAATGACTACCAACAGCTATAGAGAACTACAATTCCCAGCAATACCATTATACAGCAATGCAGAATAGCATAAGCAATAGAGGACTACAAATCCCAGCAATACTGACTACCAACAGCTATAGAGAACTACAATTCACAGCAATAGTACATTATAGCTGGTGGTATTCTGCATTGCGCTGTATAATGTATTGCTGGGTTTTGTAGTCCTCTATAGCTGGTGGAATTCCGCATTGCGCTGTACAATGCATTATTGCTGGGATTTGTAGTCCCCTATATAGCGCAATGCAGAATACCACCAGCTACATAGGGATACAACAAATCCCAGCAATACATTATTCATACAGTGTATAATGTATTACTGGGAGCGAGGATGTGGGAGGGCAGGTCTGGCAGTGGCAAGCATGAGGCAGGGAGGAGGTGCGGCACGAGGCGTGTGTGAAGCCGTGAACAGGGCCAACCAATCGAAAGCTGATTAATCGATGATTGAAAATGTTGACAACTTTTTCAATCATGGATTATAATCGACTTAGTCGATTAGTTGTTGCAGCCCTACATTCATCCTGATTTCTGGGGACAGTCGCCGGATTGAGGAGACCGTCCCCTGACAAGTTATGTCCCCTGGAACATAAAATAAACCAATTTTTTTTTAAAAATACTCACCTGATCCCGGGATCCACCGACAAGCCCAGCCTCCCGTCTCCCACGCTGTTAGAAGCTGCATACACCGCCCCTGACCACGACACATCATCAGTTGTCTGGCTACATGACCCAGGAACAGATAGCTGGCCCCCTGAAAATGCACATTTCACCACGACACATCATCAGGGGGCCAGCTACAAGACCCAGGAACAGATAGCTGGACCCCTGAAAATGCACATGCACCACGACACACCATCAGGGGGCCGGCTACATGACCCAGGAACAGATAGCGGGCTTCCTGAAGATGCACATGCAGCACAACACATCAGGGGGCCGGCTACAAGACCCAGGAACAGATAGCTGGCCCCCTGAAAATGCACATGCACCATGACACACCATCAGGGGGCCGGCTACATGACCCAGGAACAGATAGCGGGCTTCCTGAAGATGCACATGCAGCACAACACATCAGGGGGCCGGCTACAAGACCCAGGAACAGATAGCTGGCCCCTGAAGATGCACATGCAGCACGACACATCATCAGGGGGCCGGCTACATGACCCAGGAACAGATAGCTGGCCCCTGAAGATGCACATGCACCACGACACACCATCAGGGGGCCGGCTACATGACCCAGGAACAGATAGCGGGCTTCCTGATGACGTGCACAGGCGCATGCCTTCTGGGATGCGTGATGTCTATAGCTCATGTCCATCAGCTGATTGGTTGTTTGCTTTCTCAACACAAATCAGCTGTGAATCAAGCATAGCCTCAGCTGTAGAATCTTAATGTTTAATGTTCCATCTAGCTTTCTATTTTGGCTGAATTAGGTGACAATAAATGTCTATATCAATAAACACTCCCAGCAAAAATGTATAATACAGGGTGAACATGACTGTTCCCTGGATACAGAATGGCACTGGATGAGACTTCCCATAAACAGCCCAATAAAAAACAAGCAATACCATCAGTTATAAGCATACATTGTGATAATTGGACTGTTTCTGATGTTCTAGTTCGGGGGTGGGCTACTCTGGCCCTCCAGCTGTGCTTTAACTACAAATCCCAACATGCCTCTGCCTCTGGGAGTCATGCCTGTAACTGTCAGTATTGCAATGCCTCATGGGACTTGTAGTTCCACAACAGCTGGGGGGCCGGAGTTGCCCACCCCTGTTCTAGAAGGTGATATTGAGAACCTCAGGCAGTTGGAGGTACTTATTATTTCACAGGGTCATTTTTCTGGCTTGTTTGTGAATGGCGCCTGTTCCTTCATTAGTGTATGGAAAACAAGGAGAGATCAGATGCAACACTTGTGTATTAGCGTTGGGCAAGTATCCCAGAAGGTCCTGGTGCTTGGACAAGTCAACTGAGGACAGGCTGATATTTTCTATATCATCTTAAGGTGCCCATACACCTTACGATTAGGTTTCGTCCGATGATCGAACCGTCGTACGATTTTCGTACGACGGCCCCATCCTGCCCCGATTATCGCAAGGTTCAATCAGCGGTAGTTAGAAAAAAACACCTGGACGACTTGCGGTAATTGACCGCAATTATTTTCGTTTGCGCATGCGCAGTGTTAATCGTACGACTTTTGACGGACGGAAACGCCACCAACCATGCGAACATCGTACGATCAACCAAAGTTTTCAAACAAAAGTCGTACGATTGTACAGTACTATCGGTCGGGCACTCTATTCACACGTTACGATTGTCGTACGAAAAGTCGATCGCATACGATTATCGTACGATAATCGTAAGGTGTATGGGCACCTTTAGGGAGACATCTGCCTGTCTGTGGTCATTCTAAATCAGTTCAGTGCGTAACCAAAAATGGTTGGCTGACGCCAGCGTGCACACATGGCTCTAAAGCTGTTTCTGCCACCTAACAATCTAATTGTACAATTTGTGTACAGTCCCCGTTAACTATGTAATTGTCCACCTAAACAATACATTCAATCCATATCCAGTTAGGCAGACCCCATTCACACCTTCGCGTTCCGTAAACACGTGTTGCGTTTACATGTGTTTCTTCCCACGTTTGTGGCACATCACCTATTGATTTCAATAGGTGCCTCATGAGCGACAAACACGGGAAAGTAGCTCATGTAGCAGATTCTGCTAAAGGCGTACCAAGTTTTTTCACATGTTTGTGCGCGTTTAATGCACGTCAATGCACAGAAAAAAGTGCATGTTTTCACAGATGCATTTGGGGTGCCATTAACTAGTAATGGCACAGCAAGTGTGCTGCACATTTTTGATGGATTCTGTGATTGTGCATCAATGTGTGAGTTTTGCGCTTGTTAGGCACACGTTCACGGAACGCAGAGGTGTAAATGAGGACTTGTAAAACAACCTTATACAATATATCAATCAGCTTAAGGCTACATTCACACTTGTTCTCCATAGGCAGAGGAAGTCTGTCAGGCTTGATGCTGTGTTTATGCTTCTATATGCTTTAAATGACATGTGTTTACATGCATATTGTACCAAATGCTAGCAACAAAACACGTTTGCATGCATAATGGTGTGTTTAGAAGAAGTTCAAATCGATTCCTAGATGCACCC